ATAAAAATATGGCTTTATATATTTCGGCATGAATAATTAGTCTAAAAACAGCGTGAAAGTTGGAAAATGTACCCTAGGAACACGTCATGGTCGTGAATTTCGAGACTTTGAAGAAAATACCTAGAACATATTGAAAACCAAATAAAAGTGTGTAACATGTTGCCCCTGTCCCAAAAAATTTAAAAACACATAATAATAAACTACAAATCCAGTATCTACGAAGTAAAAGGCCAGGGACATGAAAACGTACGTTTTTAAATTTTCACTCGGATATGTGTTTAAAAGACACATCGACCAACTACGATAACTCACTGAAATGCTAACAAAGAAAGACTGTCAACTTTGCTTCAACAGTGCACGAAGCCACTTTATTTGGAAGAACCAAGACCACACCATCCATTTGAAGACCTCATCACCATCCCTACTGAACAACCATCACCACAAATCAATGAACAGCCTCAACACAACATGAGACAGGAAATGAAAGTCCAGTGCTGCACAGATCCAATTTTTATATAGAACACATCGCCAGCCTGAATATTTGAAAGACTTTGTTACTTCTTCATTTTAGCGAATTTCCCATATAGGGAATATAATATAGGGAATAAGCTATTACCGTAGTACTCATGGTAAAACCTGGACGCGGGACCGATTTTTTTTCGTTTTGAGGTCCGTAGGAGCCAAAAACACCATCCATTCAAATTTTTATACATATATATTTATATATACAGGGTGTTTCAGTAAAGCGTAGCGGGCTATGCAGATTCAGATTCTACATGCAAAAATAAGTCAAAAATGTTGAATAACTTGTTAGCGAATTTCCCATATAGGGAATAAGCTATTACCGTAGGTCTCGTGGTAAGACCTGGACCCGAGACCGATTTACTTTTTCATTTTAAAGTCCCCAGAGACCAAAAACACCATCCGTTTAAATTCATATATTTATATATATATGTACAATATATATATATATATATATGTGTGTCCGTTAGCATGATAACTCAAACAAAAATCATCCGATTTTTATGAAATTTGGTATAAACGTGTAAACCTACATCTATTCGAACGAGTTCGCGAACCAGCATGATCGGACCATGGGAACACGGGTTTATGGGGTAAAAATGGGGTTTTCCCATTTTTTGCCCTAAAAACGTAAAATTTTGGAATTTCTTTCCCAACCATTATGCAGAGCTTAAAAAAATAAATAATTTAGTATATTGAATCATCGTTGTATGCCTAATGGTTACGGAGAAAATGCAAAAAAATGCAAATTTAAAATTTCCATGTTATTCTTATGGAGAAAATGAAAACTGTTGTAGTTTACTTGTTTATGGATATATGTTAATCAAATTTGGCAAATTTATTTATTTCATCTTATACTATTGACGTTTGGTCAAAAAACACTGTTTACCTTCCCTGTAGCAGCAAACCTAAGCACTCGTTAAATCTAATGTTATTTAAATTGGGAATAAATATGTCTTATTTATGGAAATATTTGAGTAAATATGTAATCAGACAAGTTGAAATTCGCTTAGTCTGCAGGTTTGCTGCGGCGGGGGTATTTATTTCGGCTTAGTTTTGCCGTAATCCACCATTTTGTATTTTTTTGAAAATAATTAATGACTCAAAAACTCTTGGAGATATTTTTATGAAACTTGGTATAAACTTTAAGGCTACAGGTATAAACATTATCCGAAAATATCTTTGATCAGGCTCATCAAATTTCAAAATGGCGGCCATTTAAAATTTTTAAAGTAAAATTCAATTAAAACAGACATTAAAACAAAACTTTGAATGGCCGCCATTTTTAAATTTGATGAGCCTGGTCAAAGACATTTTTGGAGAATGTTAATACGTGTAGCCTTAAAGTTTATACCAAGTTTCATAAAAATATCTCCAAGGGTGTTTAAGTTATTAATTATTTTCAACAAAATACAAAATGGCGGATTGCGGCTAAACTAAGCCGAAATCGAAAAAAAGTTATCCTATATTTTCATTTTTGCATGTAGAATCTGAATCTGCTTAGCCCGCTACGCTTTACCGAAACACCCTGTATATATATATATATATAATAAGTATGATTGTGATTAGGGCTACTACTATATAAATAATTGAAAACATTATAAATACATTAGTACCCTTTTTAAATTCATTTTTAATTAATAAACGACATGTTTATTAAGATCCTCTAAATTCTAAGTTAACTTAACATATGAATATTTATTCCTTTCATTATTTTTGTTATTGTATTTGTAAATGTAAACATGACTGACCTAAGTGTCGAAACATGTCGTTTATTAATTAAAAATGAATTTAAAAAGGGTACTAATGTTTTTATAATGTTTTCAATTATATATATATATATATATATATTTATATATATAGGCCTATGTGTCCGTTAGCACGATAACTCGAACGAAAATGATCCGATTTTGATTAAATTTGGTATAAACGTGTAAACTTACATTTATTCGAACGAGTTCGCGAACCAGCATGATCGGACTATGGGAGCGGGGGGTTTTATAGGGTAAAAATAGGTTTTTCCCATTTTTGACCCAAAAAACCCCTCCCTGATGCAGCAAACTTAAGTACTTGTTGAACTAATTCTATTTAAACAGGGAATATATGTTATATTTTTAAGTAGACATTTTAGTGTAAATCCAATCAGGCAAATGGAAATTCGCTTAGTCTGCAGGTTTGCTGTGGCGGGGGTATTATTGTTTTTATTTTCATCTTCAATATTGCCAGTTTCAAAACAAATTATCTTTTCTAATAAGCAAGGGAGAATTATAGTATATCAACCACATGTTTAATAATTATTCAATATTATATGTTGGCAATAAGGAAATATCTACCATATGTTATTACTAGCAGAGTACCCGTCCTTCGTACGGGGTTGGCATATAAGTACAAAATGCTTATTGCAGTTATACTCGATCTTTGTGTTTGCAATGTGAGAAGACACGGTTTGAGAAAATTTGCTTCCTAAAATTTACGGTATGCTATAGCATTACAAAGGTATTACACATCTACCATAGCCATTATGTTCTACTACTTCACCTACACAATAGAGAAAGATAGATTATTAAAAACTCGCAAAATATCACAAATTATTCATGAAATAAAAAAAAAACAAACTGTAAAAACTGTAAACAATCCTACTTTGACAGTTCTCATTGCGTATCACAGTTTTTTGTTGCTGCTTAGTTCAAATTAGCTGTGTTTATAAATAATGAAAAAAATAGTGCTGCACCCGGTTGGTAAATCTTTTTAATGCTTTTGCATATCATACAACCAACTCTTTTAGTTGAAACAGCTGGCTAAGTTTCTTTAATTTCCTTTGAATATGAATACACGTAAGGTTAATATGGGAAACTGCAGAGCCACTGGGACGGAGCCCGAAAGGATTTTTGAGATAAGAATATGCCTATATGTTAATCGGGAATGTGAGCTATCATCATGCCAAATTTCAGCCCAATCCGACCAGTATTTTTCGCGTTTACTTGTCACAAACATACATCCAAACTTTCTCATTTATAATATTAGTAGGATTAATAATTAGTGTTAAATAAGCCATCAACAATATTCCTCATTTTTTATCAATCAATTATATTGTAAAATAAATCTTTTCCAATTAATCAAGCTTTTTCAATTATCAAACTCAACAAAATACGCGTGCACACACGCCACGACAGATAGTACCAGGGGACCGAGCATTGCGTTTGATTTGTTTAAGAAAAAAATTAAACGTAAAAGCCTACGATTATTTTCAGTTTTGCTACGATTAATTAAGTTGTAAAGTCAATTCGTTTTCTGTAGACATTCGCTCATTCTCAGTTTACCTAACAAACTGTTTCATGTGGACGAGCAAACTATATTGAAAATGTCTTCAATAAACTTCAATATAAAAAAAATCATGATACACAACATCTGTTGACCGTTATTGCGTTAGTCACAGGGATCGCAGAAAATCACTACTTATTACGGGATCGTGGAACAACGCATTAATTCCAGCGGCGCATCGTCGAAAACTACAAAACGTCCTTGGCATTTCCTCTTGACTTTCGTAATTCTATCACTTTGGTTAGTAATACATCATACACTCTAAATGCATTATATAATCAATGCTTAAATAGCATTCATTGAAAATTTATTTTTCCTTTGCTCTAAAACTCAGATTTCTAACAATTTGGAGGAAATCATAGGAGCCGTTTTTGAAAACATCGTGCCCGAACGTTACTCATATTATAGTATAAATAGATGGATTCGGATATTGCACAACAATGAGCTCAATTTACATGTGGTCTGTATGGTTGGAGGAGAAGGGAGCCTGAGTGTTACTTTACTAGCGTCTAATTCTCCTCATCCAGGAACTGATGAGAGCCTTTTCTGCGAAGGAGTGGGGGATTGTGGGAGAGCCCCTCAAATCGATTTAAGAAAATCTTGATATTTATTTTAGTTATAATTTTAGTTATAATTTTTAGTTATAAAATTAACATTAATTTTATAAAATTAATTTTTTAATTGTAAAATGAATTTAAAAGTTTTTAATTATAAAATTTAACTGTCATAACCTAACCTAACCAACCAAACTTGCTGATAATAAAAAAAAGATATCAGATAAAAATCGAATGAAGGTTTACTCATTTTGAAAAATAGTTCTGTTAATAAATAAAACTATAAATGCCTCAAATTCTAACAAAATATATACAGTTTAGAAGTATTCGGATTCTAAGCAAAATCTTGGACAACAAGTTAGTGTCACCGGTGGGATTCGAACTGGAGACCTCCAGATCACCAGTCCGAGACGGAGACACCATCAACTACGCCACGTCCACCGATGGAATCATATCGTCTCGTTACGGTAAAGTTCCCTCAAGAGAAGAGTGACGTCACGCCCCCCTCTCCTCTTAAGAGGTTCTCATCAGTTCCTGGAAGAGGAAAACGAGGCGCTATATCTGAGTGTTGACTAGAGAACAGCTGAGCTGATATCCATTGCCAGTCTGGCTTTGTTGTGGCCGGGAGAAGTTACAAGAGAGAGCCTACAGTAATGTGCGTGTCTAGGTTAGTTGTGTTAGTCACAGTGTCAGTGCTAGTGTACAGTGCTGTTATTGTCAGATCACAGAGACCAGGTTTTGGGAGATGTCCAGACTATCCGGCAGTGAAGAATTTTGACGTTATGAAAGTAAGCAACTTTTTTGCGAGAATTAGTATATGATACTTTTTAGCGAATTTCCCTATAGGGAAGTAGCTATTTTAGCATAACTTGACTTTAATCCATTGGAATATTTTTTGTAAGTTTGTATTACCAAACACAAACAAGTGAAGAACTACAGTATTTTGTTATTGTTGTGGGATAGGGCTGGCGAGCCCTGATAACGAAAGGGTAGCCACTGTCTCGTGTTTTTGCTGCTGAAGATAACCCGCCAGCTTCTGCCGATCTACTGTCCTATACGGCCTTCGGCCTTACAAACGAGCTTTGCGAAATACTGTATTTTAACCAATGTTGTTGGTACGGAAGGTGAAAAAACTGCGGCAACTACCTGATCATTTTAGAATTAGTTTTTGTTACAATAATACTGCACCATTATTCAAACCGACCACGGTTCAAACTGTTAATTTTATAATGTCAATGCAATGAAAGTAGGAAGCAATTTTATATTGTAAATAGATTATTTCTACGGCAACCATAAATAGTTTTGGAACGATAATTTACAAACATTCACGTTTTGGTGATAAGTAATTGAATTTTATTATTTATTATTTTATTTAAGTTTTAAATACGAAAATACTGTATCTATTTATAACTAAACTACTTCTGGAGATAATATTTAACTTTGTTAAACTACTGTATGTCACGTCTCAGACATACATGATATGATAATTATACATATCATGTAGTTCAGTAGTATCATGTAGTATGTTAGTATGTAGTTAAACACTGTGCAATTTATTGTGTAATATATTTCTCCCACGAACAAGCAGAGGTGACAGTTTGTATAACTAATCTTGTTCCTGAAGTGATGACCTCGGAATCTGGTGCGAGCTGGCTCAATGAAAAGAGAACAAACTACTTAGGGCCCCTCTTCTCGCGTTGGCTCACATGCGTCTACCACTGAATTGTTCGTTCAATAACAGTTTGGTTGTCCTACTGTCCGTGGGTCTCGCTCTTACCAACGTTTGTGTCACTTTCTCTTTCATACCGGTGTTAAATTGTTGATAAGTGAGAACTGCAAACGCTCGAAGGTTGAACTTGGCTTCCATTCCGGGTTCCCGTCACTATCTTTATACCAAAGATTCGACCATAGAGTAATGTAATTTTATGTAATTTAAACATCAAAGACAAGGCTACTTAAGTTACCAAATCAGGGTTATTTGAAACACACATTGTACAGTATAAGCAATGTCCACGTTGTTAAATGGCACAGGTCCCGACACTCATCATATGTTTATGATTGATTTGTTAAGTAACACAAACACAATATGATTACCAGGGTTGATTGTATAAACAATGCTACTATTTCAGGCCCGAGATATTGCTTGAGACTGTCTTTAACAATAATGCAATTGTTCAAATTTGATTAAAATCAACCTTAATTAACAAACGAGATCAATACAAATGACCAAGTTGCGACTTATCATACATCGATGGTTGCGACTAGTCCGGGGTAGGAAATTAAAAAGTACGAATATAACAAACATAAGATACATGAACAAAATTAATAGCTGGTTTTCAGACTTACGGCATGAATCGGCGTTTTTCGCCCCTACATTTCACTTTATTCGATCACATTTCATTTTCAATCTCTTCTTCCGTCAATAAAGTAATGTTCCGAAAACACCAAAAAAATTTAGTTTTGAGTTTGGTCTAGTATTTACAAGAGGAATGCGGTTATATGTTTAAGTAGGACGCTTTTATCGTACAATTCCATTGTTTTAGGATTTTGCCGATTCATCAAAATCTCTTCTGTTCAGCAAGAAAGTATCGACCACTCCATTGTTACGGTGATTGATCTTATACTCGTACCAGTACAAAGTACTAGTGGTAATCAATTGTAACTTTACATAGCTCGGTAGCCAACTCTAAATACTGAGCAGCAACAATATGAGAGGTTTGTGATCGTTAGCTATAATCATTGATTGCACTAGGTGTATACACACCGATACGGGATTGTTAATGTTGACGAGAGAATTTTAATTTAAATATGAATAAAACAGTTGCTATCCTACGAGTACCAGAAGAGACACAGTTGCTGCAGTGGTAGGCATACAGTGAGTGGAGTTTGTCTCTGCACCTACTAACACCTGAACTGCAACATTCTCGAAGATTGCTAACTTGATGATTTACAAAAAAATTCACCAAATGAAGTGAGTCTCACAGACATTTGCATGCTAAAAGTAAAATTATTTTAGGTTGTCCCTCTCCCCTCCAGAGCGGTGCCAAATGGGAAACCCGAGTTCCGAGTTACAATAAATAATTGAGTATCCCGAAACTATAACCCGAAACTTCCCATTACAGTAGCCAGAAATAGACATAGATATTAAGTTTCTCCCTTGCTGAATCGAGTCCGTTATATTGTCATTACATATAATGACTCGATGTTGATTGCAAGATGATTTCCATGTTCAGTTGAGGTTACATACTCAATTCTAGCACAGATGATAAAAAACTTTCGTATAATAGCCTACATACCTTTTTTAAGATCAATTTTAAAATTAACTACAATCTTAATCATTCAAAACAAAATTATTTCTTTCTGCCTTCGGTAAATTAAATGGTAAATTAATTTTTTTCATTGGTACTATTGAACTTTTAAGTAGTGAGATGCAGTGTTGGGAAGTAGCGCGCTACTTTTTTTGTAGCGTTAGCTGTAGCTACGCTACTTTTAAGATTTTGTAGCTTTAGCTGTAGCTAGCTACATTTTTAAAGTAGTTGTAGCGGAATTTTAGCTACTTTTCTCGCTACATTAACATTTGTTTGAGATAGTGATTTTTATCATAACCTCAACCTTACGTGAAACAACCTCTTTCAAACTGAGATTTTCAAAAAAATTAGGCCTACTTTCTTTGCTTCAAACAGCTGGTTGCAGCCGTTTCATTCCCTATTACAACGTTGTGTGGACATGGAGGCCATTAAATGAGTGTTATCCACATTTTTGGCTCTCATTTCCTTAATTTACTACTCTATGATTACTGTCAGATAAAATAAAATCGCTAGATGCAGACGACGTTTAAACGGTACCGGGGACAAGAGAAGCTATTGAATTGAATGCTTGCAAGTGATTGACAGGACAGGGGAATTAGTAATCAATTTAGTTTCTTTATTATATCGATAATGCTTTAACTTGGGGTTTAATGGAAACCAACACACCTTGAAATAATGAGAAAGCTGGTCTATCAACCTTTGCTTCAGCTGTTGATTGTGGTTTATCATCACAAGCCCTTCCTTGGTTAGATTACGAAGATTTTTCAAAGGTTTACTAAATTAGCAAAGAGGAAATTACCTGATGAGATTTAAGATATGCCTAGACTACATGATAATTGTATTGAAAAAAATCTCCATATAACATGAAACTTACATTGAAAAAATAGCATAGTTTGCTCCTGCTAACAGCTCTTGTATAGGACTGAGGCTATGGTTTAAGACGAATACCAAGTTCAATTATTATGAATATATCTGTTTAGTCTTTGCAAGAACAAGCCTACTATAGCCAACTTGTTACATAGCCAAGTAGGCCTACATGTTATTTTTACTTTACAAATTTCATCATGTTTAAATTAAAAACCGATTTCAGGATAAGTTGCCGGATACTGTTTTCTCTACCAACTAGGTTGAAGCACAATTTTCCCTATGCATAATCGCATAATGACAATAATAAAGGACGATTTCTTGACATTGAAAAGTGTTATTCGTAGAATAAGTAATTTATCACTTTAAAATCTATAGCAATGTTGTTTTTAACATTAAAAGTAAAGAAAGGCAATAAACTCCAATTTCAGTAGGCTAGGCTCTGTAACACAAAAAGTATTTTTAAATAATTTTTTTGCAGTTTTATTGGTGTTAATTGTTGATACAAAACATCTATAAATGAATCTAAATTAAATTAATAAAATTAGCTTTTAAAATATAGTTTGGTTGTATGTCCTTTGAACTTAATGAAAATTACATTTTAAGATGCTTAAAAATAATGCAATATTTAAAAATAATTACTAAATATATTGGGACACCCAACTATTTGGTTCTGTTGTTGTAATGTTAGGTTTATAATGCCAACAAATTAAATACAATCTAGGAATAATTTATTTTCCAAGTAATGTTAGATACAATACTGACATTTTTTCAAATGTTTGTTCAATAAAAATGTAGTTGCAATTAATTTTACATTTACCTAATGTGCGTGGAATAAAAATTAACGTCTTTGGAAAAGTAGTTAAAATTGTAGCTGTAGCTACATTTCATTGTAGTTGTAGTTGTAGCTAGCTACTTTTTCGGAACTGTAGCTGTAGCTGTAGCTAAGCTACTTTTTTGGAAATGTAGCAGTAGTTGTAGCTAGCTACATTTTAAAAGTAGCTTCCCCAACACTGGTGAGATGAAACGAACTTAACTAAGTTATGGGCAATGTAAAGTGTTCTCTTTCTAAATCGGTACTCTGATGAATAAGGGAATTTTCTCATTCCCGTTTCTCCCTGCACGTTGTTAAACTGACCTCCCTTACCTGAGGAATCCGCTGTGGCAGTTTCAGTATGTCTACCCCACTAGAAAACACCCTTATAATCCTTCCTAATTGATGTGGCAGTTTCGGTATGGATTATGATCGTAAAATCGTGGCAGTTTCGGTACAGTCCAGGTACCTGACACCCTCGCAGGGGAGCTTCGGTGAGAGGGAGGATTGGTAAACCCTTTTGGTCGAGATGGTATGCCGGGGAATTTCGGTGCGCTGTTACCAACACGGCAGCACTATATTCTTTTTGCATTTATGACAACAGCTAATTTGAACTAAGCAGCAACAAAAGCTGTGATACACAATGAGAACTCTGTCAAAGTAGGTTTGTTTACAATTATGTTTATGTTTTCAATTTAATGAATAATTTGTGATATTGTGCGAATGTTTGATGATTTATTTTTTATTGTTTAGGTGCAGTGGTAGAACATTATGGATATAGTAGATGTGTTATACTGTAGCA